TATTGATACAAGAAATCAGATTAAACAGAACCAGGAATAGTTCCTAACAGCTCAAAAACACGAATTACCGTACAAAGAAAGTAAAACCAATCTTTAAAATATGTAGGTATATGCTTAATTACAAATTATAACAAAAGCATAAAACTTGTTATTTAAATACTTCATATTATCTGGGTACAAATGAGTTGGAATTATTATTGAAAGTTTATCAATGCAAATATGATATTATGCTTCATATTCTAGCAAGTTTTATGTGTGAGAAAGCCATGCTTCAGTAAGAATGGATTAATCATTTATTTAATAAAAGGTTTACCAACAGCTTCTGTGAAGATGAGACTTAAAGTGCCTAATTTTTTTTTACATTACGTACTAGGACTTACACAGTTGCCAATTATCGGTTAACCAAAATTCACAAAATAATGATAAGATAAGTACCAAAATCATGATTAAGAGTGATAAGAAAGTCCTCACAGAACCGGCGTGAAACAACCATAGCGTTGTATTTCGCCGTGTGAATCTCCAATTCCAGTAGGTAATCTGTTTATTAGCCGCCGATTCCCAAAAAATGGAAGAAGTATCAATGTGTATAATAAAGACTGTATAATACAGCTACCTTAGGGGGATACCTTACTAAGTACCTACATTTATTTTATTTTGTTTTGTAGATAATATTATTATGTACCTACCTACTTATTGTATTTTTTTTGATTTTCAAAATATATAAATAAAAGTTGCATATACTTAGCTATAGAAAATGCCAAAAAAATATTTGCCATAAAACTTCATTCTTCTGCCATTCTTTTTCAACATACTTACTGGCGACTGATTAACCAGTTACTGTACCTCGTTAAGCGCTTAATAAGAAATAAGTAAACATTAAATAGCCCTTAATATCGGTCACAAATATGGCTATAACCACGAATTAAGCGCAGCCAAGTAACAACACTATTAGACACAGCTTACATGCGATATTGTCCAAGATTACAGTAATTATTCAGTTTATGACCACAATATGTGGCAGACAGCTTTGTGGTCCTTCATAGGCATGTATTATCATAACAAGCATTATATACATACACATAAATATTGTACAGTTACCTATATATATCAAATACTTCACACGTTATAACTAATATGTATATCTAATAATTTACGCTACAAAAAACCTATTGATATTTCTATTACTCGGACAAAAAACGTTTGTGTACAATGAGGGCGAAGTGTGCGTCATCTACAAAACATTTAACATCCTAATTTCGTGAGTAACACCTCAGCGATAGAGCCGACAAAAGAATCGATAAACATCTCGATACAGCCGGCATCGATACGGAGCCCCGCGCAGCGGGAAGCCGCGGCGACCAACTAATAACTTACATTTGGATTACGCCCGTTACCCTCTTAGCACCTTGGCCAACGTTTACTTTTTATTAATATAAAATTTATTCAAACGAGCCTCGAGAATATTTCGGGAATAATGCCTTAATATTATAAAAGCAATAAGTTATGCCTAGAAGGATAAGTGTATCGGACGCGACAAGATCATTATTTATACCATTATTTGTTCGTTCCTTTTGATCTCAGGGTCAAGTCACCTTTTGAGTCAACACGCGGTTAACCTAGCCATTGTAAGGGAAGATTACAATATGTTTAAGATGTACGACTGGCCTTGTCTTGATTGCATCTTTGAGTATCGAGTAATATTCTAATCGATATTGACAGGTCATGTCCCAATCGATTGCTGTGTTATAAATCGATTGTTTTTGTATCGATTCGTGATGGGTTTGTTTGAATGTCATTCGTTCTACGAGGTTATATATGTATAAGTAGATAATTATTTAAATGTGAAGTGTAGGTAATAATAAAATGGAAAGTTTTCAACGAGGTACTTAAGTAGATAGATAATAAGAATTTGTAAGTTATGATAATGTTTAATTAATTAAACATAGTTTAAGAGACGAATACTATTTTTCGTATGATAGATACTTACCTAATATTTATTAGGTATTTTACAAAAATAATAGATTATTTTACTTATTCTGTAGGTATCTATTTAATTGTTAATCGGATTAAAATACAAAATAATAGGTACTTAAGTATCTACTCTCCTACTTAAATACTTATTGGAAACTGTTTATATCACGAATCGTCATCTTTATATTTTAATAGGTACTACAAAAACATGTCTTTCTTTTTATTAATTACATATCATACAGTGAGTATGTCAAACAATATTCTAATTTAATTTTTCATGAACACATAGAAATCATTAAAATGATGTTGTTTTGATGATTTCCGTGACTACATCACATCTGACTGCACAACTACAAAATATAGGTAACTAAATGTCATGATTATCTGTAAAGTACCTACTATAGCTAAATTATAACTAAAAGAAAAAACAAGTCACTAAAAAAAAGACACTACCTAAATAAAAAAAAATCGTTAAAAATTACTTATTTGGTAAAAATAAGTACTTAATTAAAAAAAACGCGTTTAACGTTTAAAATAAACCGATAATTGTTTCACATAAATTTTGATTCGCAGCATTCGTACATAAGTAGAAATTTATCATAAGATTTTTTTTCTAAAGTAAAAAAAACACTTTTTTCATTTTTTATAATGTAAAAATAAAAATTTGCACAAATGTTCTATTAATCAAAGTTTAAATTTTATTGTTTTGATTTGCAAATACCTAAATTAAATAATTGTTTTCCATTATAAGGTATTTTTTATAAAAAAAAACACACACACACATATCTAGGTGGATTGAAAATTCTAATTAGGTACCTAGGTACGTATTCCGTGTTTTTTTACAGTTTTTTTTTTTAATAACTGTACCTCAGTTGTTAATAGGTATACTTAAATAATTTTATCAAAAAAAAATACCATACCATTTCTATGTATACTTATCTACCATAAATTGACTTTATACCTACGTACCTACATATCTATCAATTGATTTGAATCTCAAAAAAACATGAAAGAAATGTTGCAAAACATGTTTTTGTTTGTTTTTTTATTTTAATTACAAAGAAAAGTTTTGTTTTCGTTAAAGAAATAAAAAAAATACACTACAAGGAAAAAAACAGACAAAAAATTAAGTTTTCTTAAATATTATCTAAGTATTTTTGAAAAATTGTTGTTTTATGCTTATGACCTACCTATTTACAAAAATAAACTCATTTTTTTATTTTAATAACAAAGACAAACAAAGGGTTTCTTGTTTAATAACTTCTTCTTTAATAACTATATAGAAGTTGTCCACGCTTCGCACGGGTATCCGACCAGTTGCAATTCCCCGATTTCCCTCTCTACTTTTGTAAAATAATCTTTCATAAGTACCTTCTCCTGACAATAACGAAGAAAACAAGAAAATAATGGGCAAAATTGGTCCAGGCGTTTTTGAGTTATGCGCATACCAACACATTTTGCAATTTTATTTATTTTTTCAATAATAGTTATACCTAGCGGCCCGCCCCCATAAAAAGTTGGACACGGGTCCAACTACTTATCTAGGTATTTCACTTACAATGGAATGGTCACTTTTTTCTAATTTTCCCTATTAGGTACCTACCTACTTTTCCAAAATTTCCCTTTAGGTATATAGTATAAGAACCTTCTCCTGGCAATAACAAATGTAACAACTATAGTTCCTGAAATTGATCCAGGCGTTGTTTAGTTATGCGCTTAGACACAAGCGTTGTTAAACGCCTGTAAGGCGAGAGTTATACAAATATAAGACCATAATAATATAAGAATCGATTATACCTACTACTGTAAATGTGTGTGAGTTTGTTTGTTTATCAGTTAATTTTATTTGGTACTTAAGATTTAATGTCGGCTTGGTAGCGCAATAAACATGGCCTATATGAAATACTTAGGTATAACTAAGTTAATTAATTTGTCTAATAAGGTATTGATTGATTTTAGAAAATATTTATTTCTTAATGTAGGTAAAAGGCAGTTGTGCTTTTCACTAATTACCTATGTACATCTCTAAATATAGGTAGGTATAATAAATATACTTACTTATACCTAAATAATTTTATACTTCCTACATAAGCAAAATACTAAGTAAGTAAGTAATCATGAAACATAGGTACATTATGTTTTACTTTATTAGGTACATTTTTCACAAAAAAAGCTAAGCAAAACACTAACTTGTATCTAAGTAGGTAAGTACCTAATCATGTAACATACAGTTTTCACAAAAAAAAAACGTTAAAAATAATTTCAACTAAACAATAAACTAAACTATTTTTGTAAAATAGAATAAAAATAAAAAAATATGTTCAACAAAAAAATAAACTGTTCTTGTTGTAAAAAATATATCATTAAAATGAAGTATAATTGGAATTCAATAATTTAAGATTTGATATAAGTACTTAATAGATAAAACAGTCTTTTTTTAATTTTTAGCGGTGCTTACTATATTTATTTTGAAAACTTTTTCTTAAAAGTGTATAATTATATCAATTAGGTAAATACAAGTAAGTATAATCGGTTAGGCACGCAAAGAAGCAGTAGGTAAGTTAATATAGAAATTAATATATAAATTATCGATGCGTATCTACGTAGTGTTTGTCATAAATCGGTACAACATAGGTGAACTTCTTTTGGTTTTTCTTTCAGAGCGGTTTAGTTATAAAACTCTACTTAAATAAAACTTTTAAGCCTATTTAGTACCTAAGTAAGCTATGATAGATACTTGTTCTTAGCTGGCTGACAAGAGTTAGGAAACTTGGTTGCTTTTCACTTTATGTTGAGTTTGTATGTTTCTCTATCTTAGTAGTTAGCATTGTTTAGGCCGTTTTAGTGTTACACTTTGAATCATACTTAAGTAGTATCTAGGTACGTTTTTCATAGGCATTGTGAAAACGTTCAACTTTTTATTGAGTGAAAACTTTTAAAGTTCTACCACAGCACAAATTCAATCAACATCCCGTCACTTATACAATAAAAGTATTGTCGTGTGTGGTTCTGTGTGCACAGTCTCCTACCTTTACTGCTGGCGCCATCCTCATTGGAATCTTCACTGGGGGGGCCGTGTGGGGCCCGATTTGGCATAGGATGCGGCAACCTGGGCCGCGCCAGGAACGGCGGCGGCACACCGAAGAACGGCAGAAACGGCGGCCACGGAGGCCGGGGGGCCAGCTGCGCCGCGGCCGCCGCGTACAGCTGCAGCGGCGCCGGCAGCCCGCCCTCCAGCACCATGCCGCCGCCCGAGCCGCGCCTCGCGCCCGATATCTTGCCGGCACGCTCACCGCACTCGCCCCATGTCCCGCACACCACACTACGCACTGCGCTCACTACGCTCTCTGCGCTCTCTGCGCTCGCCGCGTTCTACGTCGCGCGCGTACTCCGCCGCTAGCGCCCGACTACGGAGTGCTCGCCGCCGCGCCGCGCCCGCCATGCCGCGCCCGGGGCGGGGCCACCACCCCCCCCACCCCCCACCACTACACAAATTAATTCTCCGCCTCCTTCATATCATAGATTTATTCCTCCGACAGTAAATCGCGCCCGCTGCTAAACGCTTTCAAACCTTATGCCGTGAAGTTACAGATCTGTATTGAATAACGGCCCATAAATTAAGGGACGGCATACATTGAATTAACGGTAACGTAGGCGACGGGTGGCGGGAAGTTGAAATAAGCCTTGTTTATATGGGGATAACGTTTGTTATCGCGCGGAGGGGGGTCCGACATGGGATTTATAGGGTCGCCGTACGTTTGCGGGCCGTGGGCTTGTCATAATCTTTTTTCCCCGCATGGCGCGCCGCCGCAAACTGCTACAGTATCAGTTGCGAGTTACGTGGAGTGTTGCACCATCGCACATAATATACTTACACTACCTACCTACACTTTGTACGTGGACTTAAAGTTTGTTAATGTATGTACCTACCTACAGCACAGCGCTGCTTGATTCGATTCTGTTATTACATCCTGTGAGCTAAACTAAAACATTTGGAAATTATGATTGATGTGTGATCTATTCGACCGGCCGAGATGAAAGGCGTTTATTATCTGTAATGAAGTAGAAAAAAATGAAAAAAATCATAGGAATTGTTCGGAGCTAATAACTAGTAACGGGTTATATATTTGATTGGAGTCATTCTTTTAATTTGACAGGTGAGGGCGCGGGCCGGCTCGCTCTTCACAATGGCTCGCGTAAAACTAGATTACGAAGCCTCCCAATCGCTCTAATGACGGACAAACAATCAATCATACAAAATTAACACGTTTCAGATTATATTTTTGACAGTGATGAATCATAAGCGACCGAAAGGCAATCAATTTCACAAGCAATTCCTTATTCCATTAAACAAAAAAGTAATAACGTAATTGACATAAATAATAATAAAATATGTCAAGACAGCGTAACGAGCGCTCGGACGCGACATGACAGCTCTATCAGGGATCTGGGACTGAGTGCAGGGGGGCGGCGCCGGCGGCGGGCGGCGCGCCCATTGGCGGAGCGCGCGGGGCGGGCGGGGGCGGGGGCGGGGCCGGCGGCTCAGCCTTGCATGAATTTAATTAGTGCGAGGAGCACCTCGGGCGCATTAGGAGCCGCGCCGGGCGAAGCAATAAAAGATATAAAGGAATCACTATAAATTAAAAGTTAAATAGAGAACGCCGCGAGCGAGCGAGACGCCGCGCGGACCTCTCGCTCGCACGCCGCCGTAATTGTTTGACGATCTTATTAGTATCAGTTAAATGTCGCGCTCTCTTTTTCTCGCGCGAATTTAATTAGTTTTTAATTAGGGAGTCGGATAATGAGCACCGGCCGGCGGAGTTGTTTCAGTTGCTGTATTGTCATTTGAGCGGTTTTTGCGAGTTAGGTACTTACCTAATATTTGTACGTAATCCGAGATATATCGATTAACTCAGTTCAAATTACCTAAGTTTTTCTTTCAGAAGTTTTGTTAGGTACTGAGTATCTTTAATGAAAAGAGGTTTTGAATAGATGTGTTTTTGTTTTTCCAGATGAATGATTTTTTTTGTTTAATTTTGTATTGATTGTAGTGTTTCTAATCGCTTTGGGTACAATCCGGGATTCAGCTGGGGCTGTATAATTTACCGCGGCCCCGGCCTAGAGCAGGAGAAAGAACGGAGGGGTTTTAGTCAGTATGAGTCTGACACTGGAAGGAAGAAGTCATTTGAGGTCTTCTCCTTTAAAAGAGCCAGTTTTTAATACTCATAACAGGCGTTTAATAAAGACACCTATCCCTACCCTCATGAGTAGGTCATCTTCTATATAATAATATTCTAGCTTCCGCCCGCGGCTTCACTCCCGCGGTATGTTGATAAAAAGCAGCCAAAAGGTATAGATTAACACAGGTAGTAACAGGGTATCACCTATCTGTTAACCTATCCAAATTGGTCCAGCCGTATTGCGTGATAGAATACATAACAAACAGACATCTGTAAATTATCACTAACTTTTACATTAATTATAATATCTCCTTTATCTACCTAGTAGAAATGATAATTAATGCAAAATTTCAAGAATATTTGGTGACTAAATAAAGAAACCCGACTTTAGCAAGCGTGGTGATTAATGCTCAAACCTTCTCCGTGCGAGAAGAGGCCTTTGCTCAGCAGTGGGCACTTATAATCTAGTAATGATAATGATGAAATAAACTTACAAACATACGCATTTATATTATTAGCTAAGATTTATTTACTCTTAAGGTAAACAAAAATATTAATATGTATATTCAAACACATAACTACATACATCAGACATTTCAGTCGACGGTACCTCGTCTTGTTGTCTCACTCTAACACGTTCACATTGTATATCTCCATCTCTCTCTCGTCATTAGGCGGGCTATGCACGCGCGTATCGTTATTCCTCATTATGTCGGGCTTACGTTCCCCACGTTATGTATTGTCTGGCGGTGTATGGGCCGCTTTACTTGTGATATTGATGTTCTTCTAACCTCAAAATGTGCTTTCTATTTAGGGATTGGTTGAAGAAGACAGAAAAGAAGTAAGTGGAGAAGGAAATGGGAGAAGAAGAATGTATTTATAAGTAATTTAGATGTTTTCAAAATGTTAAAGTTTAATGTAAGTCGTTTTCGACTTGGGGTTGGTTAAAGTGTGATTGAATGTTTTGATTTAATACTAATAGGTATATTAAAAATTTTAATAGTACGATTATCAAAATTAGTTTAATTTCTTAAATACTACGCGTAGGACGTTTGTCAAGATTTCTGTCAGGTCTACCTACTTATTTGGCGATTAGAGATCACACTTTCACCATATTATAATAAGGCCTGTTGAAGTAAGTTTTACTAATACGAAGCCTTTTTACAATTTTCTCTTACGTAGAAGAACAATAAAGAAGTATATTAGCGTAGAGTCGTAGCTCGTAGCTCGTAGCGCGTAGCATACTACGAGATCTGCTATAAAGAAGAATTTAAGATTTTATATAAAAAAAAAATATACATTGTGTTTTAAGGATGTTAAATTGGATATTTATTGTTTAAATAACAAAGACATTTTTTCATTGAATTTTTGTTGAAGACGACTTGAGGTGTTACACGTTCCTATATTCGAATGTTTTTTCTGTAATTCTTTTCCGAGGTATACAATTACTAGAAAGATGATCCAGTAAGCTGATAATCTTTTATCAAACGAAATAGAAAATTTACAGTTTAAAAAAAACCAATCTTGCCCTTTTCACTTCTTGCTCAATCTGGCAATCCCTCTGAAAGACACATCACATCACTTACTCCTTTGGTGGTTCAAATGCACATTAGCATTGATCTCTCTGTAAAAATATGTTTATTATAATAATATGTACTATGTATTTGGTCAACAAAATTTACGGTACCAAATAATTATTTATCCACTAATCATAACTGAAAATTTTATCTAAATGCTACAAAATGTCTTTCCAGAATCGCATCAAAGACCCAATGGACCACCACAGACACCGGGCCGATGTTTAGGGCCGATGTTCATCTCCAACCAGGGTGCGAGTCAAGCGCAATAAGCAGCAGGAGCAGGAACGGGGGTTTTTTAGTCAATAAGAGTCTGACACTCCCTCCCACTATATCCTGAGACGAAAGAAGTCATTTGATCATTTCCCCCCTAAAAAAAGCCTACGCCACAGAGACCACACATATCTGAAAATAACACCAAGAAAATAATGTTTATGATAACAACTATCTTCATAATTCCTGACGCTATTAGATAATTATGTGAACTTGTGTCCGTACATTTAGCTAGCGTTAATGTGACTTCAGACCTTAGGGTCGTAATGTTTTATGTTTAAGACCTCACACGATGACTGTTCTATCATTTAACTGTTAAATATTAGATAGATTATGATTTCTTTATAAATATTTTAACGGTCGACGCAAGTAAACTAGCATTTAGATAACCTGAACCTCAAAAATAAATTTTCATTGCTCGGCATTGACAGCACTAGGTACATAGTATAAAACGAAATCGCATTATCTGTCCCTATATCCTTATATGCTTAAAGCTAGGTATAACTTGGTAGGTACTCAACGGATTTTTACACAAAATTTAGAATATGGTGCACTTTAAGCCATAGGTATTGTCTGCTAGTCAAACTTTTGGGTGATGCAGAGAGGAGTGATTGGTAGATGCGAAAAGCAAATAAAACCCTGTAATAACTAAGCGTAGGTACATATTTTAAACACCGACAAGGTGAAGACGAAAAAAAAAATTCAATATCCCTAAAATTTTTCGTAAATAAATGACAGCTTAAAAAGAGACAATTTAAAAAAATAACAAGAGCAAGTCGTGCACACACTATCTTGAGTTCTTCGATCTCGTTTCCATTTCCGTCCGTCACGTCAAAACTTAAACTCGTATAAATATTGATAACGCAAGATGGATGACTAGCACGCGCGGCTCCAATTGATTTAAAATTAAATACACAATTTTTGGCGATGATTGATGCACATCACGCCTTCCCTGGGAACGGGTTGGGGTAACCTTGCTAAATGGATTTTTTGCACGTTTCCACACGGTCCAGTGGACACGATCATTAGTGAAGGGATACAGAAGGATCTCGTTTAAATTGTATTCGGATAGATTTTTTTTTTTTTTGGTTGAAAAAATATCAATTTGGTTCATAGTTTAGGTAATGATGAATAGGTACGTATTTTGTGCTGTAGATCTTTTGTCTACAGTAATAATTTATGAGGGCTATATAAATTAAATCTATTTCTGATTTGAAATATTTGGTTAATTTTAGTTTTCTAATGTTTGTCGGAAAGGTCAAAAGTCTGAGAAAAAAATTTAAAGTATGAGACTGAAAACGACCATTTTCTTTTTCTTTTATAATAATTGTATCATGAAATAAACTTTCTAAGATCAAAACATATA